CCTGGAGCTTTAAAAAATTCAGAAACGCACCCTTTCCGTCCATGTGTTCCCCCACCCCCCCGCCCCCAAATGTCTTCCTCCACCACCAAACACTCAGTTCACTTGCTAGCGAGCTTCAGCACTTTCGGTTTTTCTGACCTCAAACTGCACCAACACCGCATGGCGATGGGCAGCTGAACTCGGTTTCTCCCCACAGATGCTGCAAGCGCCCTCGCAGACGAGGCTGGTCCTACCAAACCCCTTCCTTACAAACTCTTCAGGGTGATGTTACTCAACATCCTGCACAGGAGGCACCAGGCTCTCTTCCTTCCTTCTCCTCCTCTGTCACTCTCTGGAACAAGAGCGAGCAGCCCCAAACCCCCCTGGCATGAGCCACACGGCATACTTACCAAACCCAACAAAGAGATAAATAGATAGACAGATAGATAGATGCATGTCTTTAAAAAGCACAGACAACACAGATACGGCTTTTTTTTTTTTTTTTTTTTTCAAAAACATACTTCATATTTCCTCTTTTATTATATAAATATGTTTAACCTTTTACTGTAAGAATATAAAATGTTTTAAGAGGATCTTTGTTATTTTTTTTTATACAAATTCACAAACAGTACAATTAATCCATAGGGGTCTCTGGGTTTGCGTTAACTCCATGGTCTGGCCTGTTACTGTGGAGGATTTGAGATTTTGAACAGATGAACAAAAAAAAAGCCAAGATATTTTTCTTTAAAAAAACAAAACAAAACAAAAACCAAACTTACTCTTCCTCTTTAAAATAATAATAATAAAAAAAAATAATCTAAAGACCCAGCTCCATTTTATTGACAGAACAGAGATAAGACAGATGAACTTCAGTCTCCTCCCCTTCACATTGCAGCCTCGGGGCCTACAGGCCAGCTCTGCTCCTCTCCACCTACAACCAGGAAGCCTGGCATAGTGACCTTTTGTAGGTGATTTGGGAGGGGAGGGAAAAGCATTTGCATATATCTATATATATATTTTTTTTTTTTAAACGAACTTGCATTTTACACATTTCTGTTAACAGTAGCCCGATCCTCAGCATGGATTCTCACATTACATGTTTGTGCTAGAAGAGTAAAAATGCAGAAGCACAGTTTGGGTCCCCAGTGAAGAGGGAGGGAGAGGCACAACCAGAATGTGAAGGTGGGACACAGTAGGGTAAGCTTAAAGACAAAAATAAAAAAAAAAATAAAAAAAAACCAAAGCAGGGCATGGGGGCAGAGAGAGGAAGGGGAAAAAAAGAACAAACCCAAGGGGCATTATTCCAGTCTAGGCACAAAAATGTTTCAGTCTCAAAATCTCTTTCCTGTAAGAATTCCAGGGCTTTTGAGGAGGGGGAAAAAAAAAAAAAAAAGTAACAAATTAAAACGAGGTAGCCAGACATCATATATATATTTATATATATAGAATATATTCAGCAGAAAAAAAATGTACTTAAAAATCCACAAGAACAGCAACTTCAAATGTCTTTAAAAATAAAATCATGTAAGAAAATGAATACTGTAAAGAGGAGAATGAGTGAGAAAAACTGGGATCAGTTACAGGACGTAAGCAAGGGATAGATGGGAGAGTAAGAGGCTGTTTTTGTAGCAGTAATTTTTTTTATGCATTTCAAAATAAAAACAGGTCACAGTATCTCAAATGAAGCAGAAATGAAGCTGGAGATTCTTCCTTAAGTCCCCCGGGTAGAGGGGAGCTAGCCACCCCTTCTACCTGCTCACCCCCAACCCAAAGAGGAATGGATATGTAGCTGGATATGTCTATCCCTGTTGCCAAGAAGAAGGAGAGGAGAAAAAGAGAGAACGGTGAAAGGGAAGACGAGTCTCGGTAACTCTCAGAGTCCCCCAGTACATGGGAAGGCTTAAGAGACTGGGGTCCGTGTCCAGTCCCCACAGAGACAGGAAAAGGCGGAACTGGTATCTTCACCTCCAGCAGAGATGGGGAGAGAGAATGGAGTGCCTAGGCTTTTCCATTAACCATAGTGCAGGATGACACAAAAACATACTGACAAAAGGAGAGGCCGTAGCTATCCCTAGTCTCAGTGCACTGGAGAACTGGAATAGTGGGAGGTGGTATCCACCCACAGCAGAGAATAACACGGAACTGGAGATTGAAAACAGATTTAAAAAAAAAAAAAAAAAAAAAAAAAATCAATGTACCTAGGGAGCAGTATTTCTGTCACAATTCCCAGTTGACAGGGGAGGGGCGAGCGCAGAGGTGGAATGGTTGTTTTACCAAAAGCTGCGCCTGTGCCCAGCGCAGGATGACTGGGTGGCCGGGTACGTAAGTGTAGCTAGGAAGCTTTTTCTGCTGTTGTTATTGTTTGTTCCCATCTCCATTCCCACTCTCCTTTATAGAAACCAAAAATAATCTATTCTGAATACATGGCAGAACGAGGGTCTTTCTTTATCCATCCTTAGTGCACGAGGGGATGGAATCAGGGAGTGGGGATAAAGAGGGGTGTCTCTAGCCCCAGTGCATAAGAGTGTGGGCTTCTACCTCTTCTGCAGGGAAGGATGCTGTGGGGGGGAGGGGGAGCTCTGTCTCCCCAGCGTGGAGCTGGAGACATGGCCTGGAGGAAGGATAGGTGCTTTCCCTCTTTCCTCCTGCCCACCCCCCTTCCTCCTCCTCCAGAGCAAGGGTAGGTAGGCAGCACAGAAGGGTTGAGGATATACTCTCTTTCTCTACGTTCCTCCCTCCGGTGCCAGGGTGCGTGGGTAGCATGGCTCTGTGCGCGCCCCTCTCTCTCTTTCTCTCCTCCATTGCAGCAGTCAGTCAGTCAGTCAGTCAGTCAGTCAGTGAGTCCCTCCAGAGGAGATGGAGGTCTCGGGGCGCCCCCCTCCTCTCACCTGACCTTCTCGCTCTCAGTCATTTCCCAAAGTCCCAGGTTGAGCACCTTGAGGCAGGGCAGCTGGGTGATGCGCTCCAAGCCCCGCTTGGTAATGCGGGTGCAGCCGTAGAGATCGATGCCCGTGAGCTGGCTGAGGTGTTCGGCGATGAGCTCCAGGCCCTTGTCAGTGATGCGGACGCACTGACCGATGTTGAGGGTGCGGAGCCCGTGCATCTGTCGCACCATGCGGTTGATGCCCTCGTCGCTAATGTGGCAGGAGCAGAGGGAGAGGGAGCGCAGCCCATCCAGGCCCTGTGCGATGTAGGCCAGGCTCTGGTCCCCCACCTTGTCGCAGAAGGAGACGTCGAGGCCGGACAGGCGCAGGCTGCCCATGGCCAGATGCATGATGCCCGTGTCGCTGATGTTGTCGCAGGAGCGCAGGTTGAGGCTGCGCAGGCTGCTCATGTGCGAGAGGTGCAGCAGCCCCGCGTCCGAGATGCCCCCGCAGAAGCTGAGGTTGAGCTGGCGGAGGCGGCCCAGCCCGCGGGCCAGGTGCTTGAGCGAGAGGTCGCTGAGCTTCTGGCAGTCCTGCAGCGTGAGCTGCTCCAGGCCCAGGCAGCCCTCGGCCGCGCTGCGCGTCATGCCTGCCAGGTGCCCGATGCCCACGTCGGAGAGGTGCCGGCAGGAGCGCAGGTTGAGGCTCTTGAGGCGCTGCAGGCCCCAGGCGATGAGGAGGAGGCCAGTGTTGGTGATGTTGCTGCAGCCGCCCAGCTCGAGCACCTCCAGGCCCTTGAGGTACTGGGCGATGCGGCCCAGGCTGCTGTCCGTGATCTGCTTGCAGAGGCTCAGGTTGAGCGAGCGCAGGGAGCTGATCTCCGCCACGAAGGCGTGGCCCAGCCCGTTGTCGGTGAGGTTGTAGCAGCCGCTGAGGTTGAGGCTCTCGATGTCCGCCATGCCCTGGATCACGTAGCTCAGGCTGCGCCGCAGCGACAGGATCTGCACCCGCCGGATGCCCCTCGCCGCCAGGCTGGGGAAGAGCGAGGGGTTGGCGCGGCGCAGGTGCAGCTTGGCCTCCACGCCCCGCCACACCGAGCGGTGGTAGGCGGCGTCCCGCCAGGCCGTGCACACCTGCGCCGCCCGGCCCTTGTCCCGCACCTCCAGGTACCCGAAGATCATGGCCAGCAGCTCGGGGAACAGACACGAGATGTGCGTTTCCATCGCACGCCCGCGCCCGGCCGCCCCCGCCGGCGCCGCGCTCCTCCTCGCCGCCGGGCCCGGCCCGCTTCCGCTCGGGGCCCGCCCGCCTTCCGCTCCGCGCCGCGCCGCGCTCCTCCTCGCCGCCGCCGCCCTCACATCGCCGGCCCGGGCGGCGCGGCCCGGCCCGCGGGGGTGGGGGGGGGGGGTGGGGGGTTTGGGGGGAGACGCTGCTGCGCGACCGGCCCGGCCCCGCGCCCTGCGGCCGCCGCCTCTACCGCCGCGCCGGGCGGGCCGCGCCGCTGCTGCCGCCGCGCTGCTGCGGCCGCGCCGCCCCGTGCCGCATCGTGCCGCCTCCCGGCGGGCGGGCGGGTGCGCCCCGGCGGCGGCGGCGGTCCCCGCTCTCCGTCCCTGGCGCCGGCCGCCGACACCCGCCGCCCTCCCTTTGTCTCCGCGCTGCCGCCGCTCACAGTCCGCGGACCCGGGCCGCCCGCATCCCGCGGCGGCGGCGAGAAGGGCAGCGAGGGCGAGAGGTCGCGCCGGCCCGGCCCGGCCCGGCCCGCCCCGCCGCCGGTACCGACTCCGCCGCTCCGGGCCCGGCCGCCGCCGGCCGCCTGCTCCGCTCCGCCGCGCGCCGCTCGCTGCTGGGCCCCGGCGCCGCGCTCCGGCCGGGCGGGAGGGGGAGGAGGCGCGGCGAGGCGAGGCGGGGGGAGGAGGGAGGAGGCGGTGCTGGGCCGGGCCTGGCGGCGGCGGCGCCGCTCGCGTTCTCCCCCCCGCCCCCGTCCCGTCCCGTCTCCCCCCCCCACACACACCCCCCTGCGCCGCTTGCGCAATGGTACGATCCGGAACACTCCGAGCTGTCGCCCTGGAAACAGCGCGGCCCATTCGCTGCGCCCCGCCGTTAACCGTTGCTGCGCCGCGGTGGCGCGCACCCGCGCGCCGCGCCACACACACACACGGGGGGGGGGGGGGGGCCGCGGCCGCGCAACCTCCGCGCCCTGCCCGTCCGTGGGCGGCCAAGGCGCCCACCGAGCGCCGCCGGCGGACGTCGCCCCCCCCACACACTTCCCGCCCTGTCAGTGTGGAGAAGCCGTGGCTGGGCTCAGCGCTGTCACCCTCCGGCGACTCGTCCCGCCGCCGCCCCGGCGTGAGGGGGGCTCCGGCCGCAGATGGCTGCCCCGCTGCAGCTCAGCCCCGCACCGCAGTCCGACCACCCTCACCTCAGGCCTCCCCGCTCCCCGTGGGCCCCTGGCGTCTTGCCGAGAGCCCCCTCGGGCCGGCTGGTAAACGGGCTCCTTGGGGACCCCCGGACCCCCCCTGAGGAGGGACGGGGGGTGCTCATGCTGCTGAACAGGGCGGCGAGGGGAAAGCGGGCCGCTGCCTCCCCACTGCGTGTTGGAGCACAGGCTGCTTTGCTTCGGCGCTTGGCCTTGAGACTCTCTGATGGCCTTCAGGACCAAAATTGGGGAATGCACTGTTTAGACACCCCTGCGGGAGCGATAGGAGCGTGGCTGGAAGTGGCACGGAGAGCTGGGTAACTCTCGACGTTGCCAGACCTTTTAGGAGGATCATGTTAGGGCTTCCGTGATGGGAAATGGAAAAACTTATGAAAATGGCTCTCAGCTCATGGTCTCCTTGAACTGGCCCTGAAAATAGCTGAAGTAAACCAAGCAATTTCCAGTGATTTCCAGCAATTTCAAGAAAGAATGTTTGAAATCCACCTTTCCTACGTGTCTGTAGCCTCGTGTAATGGTAACTGTGCATGTTTCAACACTGGGCAGTATTGCGCCAGCGTTAAAAATGGGTTAAGTTCTACCAGAGATCAGGTAAGGCTTTTCAAAACAGTTTCAAAAGAGCAGGACTGCCCTTCTGTGCCAAAGAGCTGTAAAGAAAAAACATAAAGTTCACATTTGTTCAACACGACAGGGTGCATTTTTAATACTGTTTGGATTACGAAAACGTGACAAAAATCAGCCTAGTTACTGATGTGTTTGCTGTACCGAGACTTTTGCTAACCTGATGGAACAGGCTCTATTTTAATCATCGTCTGAATTTATCTGCTACAGAAACACCTGTGGCTCCCCCTTCACGTATAGATTCCATATTAGACTCTGCCAACAACTTAGAGGTTAAATGTCTGTATTTCATTTGCCTCTTTTCTTTCCTTTTTGCTTTAAGTTAGAGGCAAGGCGAATTGAAGGACTCTGAGGCCCTGATCCTGCAGTGAGGTCCCCGTGCATATAAGCATCACTATCGACATTAGGCTGTGGTTTGGCAACACAGAAAAGCCAGCAGTGCAACTCCTATTATTGGCTCAAAACCGGGGTGGCCGCATGATGTGAAGTGCTGACCTGGTATTCATTCACTCTGCCTGCTCAAGTTAATTCAAGAAGTTTTTGACAGGTTAACTTTTTACTAGCAGACTTTATGCCAGATCAGGTATCACAGTACACAACTCCAGCCGGATCAGGTATCGTCTGCACCCCTGTGGCTGGCATACGGCCAGCGTAAAATTGGCGTTGGCTTCGTGTCGTGCGCTCTGGCTCATTCAGCAGAAGCATGATCATGTGCCTTGGCCCGATCCTGACCAAATTTGTGCTCCTGGGTGATCCAGCAACGTGTAGACCTGGTTTTAGTGATCGTGGAGCAGCAGCCCCACACAGATGCTGTATCAGGGTGTCGCCCAGTGCGAATTATCGTGGTAGCGTTATTATTTTGCGCCGGCGGGGCAGGGAGAGGTGATTAACCATCGCATTAAGAAAATGATTAGGGGGGGATAGATCTTGCTGTGCATCTGCGCTGCAGCTCTACTGTGCTCAGACCAGTCGTCGAACATGGCAAGCGAAAAGCAGAATTTCCTTGAAGTGAGGAGCAGGTGAAAGGTGCGGCATCTCGTGGGCCGCCTGGGCCTGCCTCGGCCAGGATTGCTCGGCTGAAGACAGCAGGATCGCGTACGAGAAGGCTGAGTCCGGTAGACATCAGGCAGCGTGTGAAAGAAATGTGGTACAAAGGTGGTGTTGGTGTATCTTAGTGATTGTTGCATTACTCATAACTGGCAAAGCTACAAGCAAGTTATACAAGTCGTTCTGAAAGAGTGCTAATGAAGTCTTTTACCATATTATCCCAAATTCGACTGCAGAATCTTACCATGGAAATAACGCAGTATTTCCTCTCTCTAAGCCTTCAAACCACATTTGAGGGGGAGCAGGGAAAGGTGTGCTTTTTAAAGCATACAAAGCTTGCCTGAAATACTTTTTTCTTTATGTCTTAGCATGTTGCGTCTGTAATGCCTGTTGTGTGTAACCAGCAAAGGTTAGAAAGAGATAGATGATGTATTTTCTGGAGACTCTGAAGTTCCCTTTCTCACGTTACATACTTTGCGCGTCTGTGCTTCCTTGTGAACAATTTTAGATTTACATATTAAATGGAACAGCCCTGGAATTTGGACTCGTAATCCTAACCTACTGTGGGATTGTTTTTTTGGTGGGGGGTGGGCACAGAAAGTATTTTTCTAGTAGATTTTTATTGCTCACTTTATCTAAGTGACGGATGTTTGGAAATAGAGGTTTGGAAAGACAAAGTAAAAGTTCATGAAAAGGGCCAATTTATCACATGGTTGTTCAGTTGATTTTGTGTTTCCGGGAGTAAGGAAATATGTGTTGTGTTTTTCATGATCTCATATGGTACAAATAGGTGGTAATCACCGTGCGATAAACCGCATTTTGTTAAAAATCCCTGCCTGCCTCATATGCACTCTGAAGGCTCATCCGACCCCCTGGAACCGTCTCCAGCATTCCAGCCCCTTGAGCAGCTCCCAACAGCCGCTTTCTCTTTTTGAAAGCACTTGCCAGACAAATGTTTCATCCCTTTTTTCTTTTTTTTTTTTTTTTTTTTTTTTTTTTCCCCAATTACACCGGTGTTCAGCGGAGGCCGGACAGTTGTTTTGCTTGGCAGGGGTTCAGGAAGATCCATATAATTCATTTGTGGCTTCTGCGATTAGAAGTAATTCATGCTGATAAAGCTGCACCATCGCCTATCCTGTATCTTCTGTTGCATGATTGGGCATAACGTCCCCCAGGTCTTTCTGCAACTCCCATCTCGGTCTGTCCCTATTTGTTTCTTTTGCTTCTCAATTTGCAGGGTAGCTTTTGGCACCAATTAATCCTTTAAGAGATAACAGAGTCCTTCCTTACATTTCCTTTTCTTCTGCTACCCTACTCCTGTGCTTTCTGTTTTTTTGTGGCTTCAGCCATGAAATGGAAAACTTGCGAATTTACCCACAGGAACCTGCTTGGCCTTTGGCTTTTTCTTACGTAGGGGCGATGGCCACAGGGACTGCAGGACTGAAATGATACGAAAACACTTGAACAATAAAGCCTGTGATCCTCTAACCCTTCTCTCTCTCTCTCTCTTTTGATCCATTTAACCTTAAATTAATTCCTAAAGTAGTATATTTCTCTGCCTTGCCTAGCTAACCATACTCCTTTCCCTGAACCGGCTCCTCGAGGGCCTGTGTTCCTTCTTGCCTTCTCTTGTGCCCCCCTGCTGTCGCCAATCCCTCCCGTTGCCGCACCTGACCCCGCCGTCCCGCAGCCCAGTGCCTGGGCGACAAGAGGCAGCTTCATCCGAGGGAGCAAAGAAGACAGGCAGCTCAGATTCACGTGCTCCTCTCGGTGCAGCTACGATGATCAAAGGGATATTAGGCAGGTCGGAGCCCAGTGGGGTCCTCATTCATGCAAACAGCTCTGGAGAACTGGGCTTTCATTTAAAACAGTGGTGCTTTACTTCCTGCCCTTGAAAACAAAAACAAGGCATGGATGGCCTCAGCTTGCCTCATCTGTTGAAGAGGCTGCAGGCTGGTGCCCTTTGGGGTGTAGCCTGAGACAATCCATTAGCTAATTTTCTGTGACTGGCTGATGTTGGATTTTCGATCCTTTTGTCCAGCCCACCACCACATTACTTCTCAGTTTATAGCGTTTCGCTGCAGTCTAAGTTACAGTGGGGAAATTTCCCCTCTGAAAAACGCAACTGGCTTAATGAGTAGTTCAGCTAACACTGGTTTGGGACTGGTTCAAATTCTAGTGTCAGCCACACTCCAGGGGACTGCAGTTTTCTTCAGAAATTCACTTCCAGATCTTCTTCATCAGATTTGCAGCGTGTCCACAAAAATCAACCAAACCCGATACAACCCATGGTCTTAAACTGGGTTTAAAGTTGGTTTAATGGAACCTCTTAAAAGTCATTTTGCAGAATGTGTTTTGTGTGTGTGAGTGAGACCAAACCAGCCCATTTGCATTGCTGACACCTAAGCGATCATCTTCTGGCATGGCTCAGCAAAAGGAGGGTGCCAGCTTGTTGTGGAGAGAACGTGGTGCTCATCAGCGTTTCGCGCTGAGTGGACTCCTGACTGCTACTGCAGAGCTTTTCTGCTCTTAGCGAGGTGTCAGGGAAGCTGCGCTGGGGTGTTTTAGAGGTTTCTTTCCTTTCTTGGACGTAAAGCAAATATGATCCCCTAGAACCCTTCTGTGAATGCAACCAGTAATTACATGACAAAGATCTCGATTAAGAGTTATGCATTTAAGTGTAGGCAGAACAGATGAGTAACGTGCATATTTTAGCTACATAAGCATATGTACATATCTATGTACACGCATACGCACATATATAAATCAGGATAGGGCTGTTAAATGAATGGATTCCCTTTTGAATTCATGCTGGTCATGATCCTTTTTTTGACCAGAGATTATAAAGAAAATGTAACTAATCAGTGGGTTATTTGCTAATTGTAACATTGGGATCCTCTTGCATGCCAAGCTTTGTTGTGAAGCTTAGATCACCATGAAGCTTTCCTGAAAAATAAAAAACTGGTGGCTTTTCTGTACTTTGCAGGTATCGTATCTCTAATAGGTGCTAGGTGAGACTATATTTTAGGATTATATGCTTCCTCCTGCACAAAGTAATTCTGATCTGCTGTGTATTTCCTGGTGTCAGGGGTGGTTTATTCAAAATACAGAGTACTGTGAATATGTGGTTAGGTGCTGGGGCAAATTCAGAGCTGGTGTCTCGGTGCAGACTCCAGCTCTAAATCTGAGCCTTTGTGATTTGGGTATTTTCTTCAGGTTTTGATATTACTTGTCAGTCAGTAGCTGACAAGAATCTAACTATGCTGATAGGAGTTTTGGCATTAAATTGGCCAGCAACTGTTGCTGCTGTAACAGATTGAACCAAGCATAAATGAAAGGATCGCTTGAAGAACCAAAAGATTATATTATGGTCCAGGCAACTGCACTTGAATGCTGGGTATCTATCATGTATTTCTCATCTGCTCTTGTGGGACAGGACTGTCTGGTGGTTAGAGCAAGCGACCTGGGCCCCTGGCCACAGGCGATTCTCTGACTCTAACATGCATGTCACACCCTTCGTGGCTTATACGTAGCTCAGTACTCGGCGGTTAAAGTCATCAAAGGGAAAGTGCTCTGGGAGGGCAGGATGTAAAATCTCAAACCTCAGCGCTTGCAGTTCATTGCATTGGGTGCTATTTTAAGTGTTGGGCTTTGTCATTTCTTTATTAGCAGTACCAAAGGAGATCGAGATGGCAGAAAATATCTCATGTAATCATTATTATTAAAAGCAGTGGCACAAAAACAAAGAGACCTTTCAGGTAGTAATTGCTTTCATAAGCCATTCCTGGGGATTGAACTCTTGAGACCTCTACAACTCGATCTAGAAGGGGCAGCCTCTGCAGTCACAGCAGAAACATGTGTGCCCGACATGCTGTGTGGTACCTGTTACAGCAGCAGGTTTGTGAAACCGTCCTCTGTAACAG